GTGAGGGTGACAGAGCACTGGAACAGGCTGCCCAGAGAGGTTGTGGAGTCTCCTTCTCTGGAGATCTTCCAAACCCGCTTGGACGCAGCCCTGTGCCACGTGCTCTAGGTGACCCTGTGTGTGCAGGGGGGTTGGACTAGATGACCTCTAGAGGTCACGTCCAACCTTAAGCATTTCTTTAAAAAAAAAAAAAAAAAAAGACAACACATCTGCAAAACATGTTAAAGGAAAGCTTAAAGATTAAATAAATAATTTTGTCTTTAGACAAATACAAACATCTAGTGTTTTATATGCACAAGCAATCTTTGTAATAGATTCTCAACTAGCAGTTTGGTAAAACGTTCATAACCTATGGTTTTCTCGGATTCTTTTATAACTTTGTCTTCTATTTCTCTTTTACAAGAAAGATCAGATGCCAAAATTCTAGCAAACCAACCAGGTTAGCGAACCACATAGGAATTTTCTCATATCTAAGTAAAAATGGCCTCTATAAATTTAACCGTAACCGTTGGTTATGGTTAAGTTATTGTCCAGATGTCTCCTTCAGTGACTTGGAGTGACAGAACACTATTAGGGTTCAAGCAATTCCACACCATGAGATATACCTTATGTTAAAACTAGAATAGATCTTTTTGCACAGAGATATGCAGTTTTTAAACATTTTTCTATATATAATATATATTTAAAAAAATATAAATAAAAATCCAGCTATTTCAGAAGGCCAGAGCTATCTACATTTTGATAGCTATTTTACAGAATAAGTAGCTTGGTTAATCAAAAGACTTTAGATAACACTTTTTATATCAGCAGTCCCAATGCCCTCAATTCCTTTCACTTGTTTCCTCTCTATCAATTATCACTTCTGCATTGCTGCTATTCTTTCCTATTTAAGAGGCTTAAAATGCTGATGTATCAAACAAAAGAAAGCAAAGTCTTACATATTTCAAAATTGTAAGATGAGTTTAATACTTACTCAAATTCTGTGGCGTAATATTTGAAGAAGCCTATTAGCAAATCTCCAAGACTTGATCCATTTTTTGAGAGGTAAGGAGGAATGGTGCATGGAGCTTTATGAACAAGGTGCAACTGCATAGTAGGATCAAAAGAGTCCTGTCAAAATAAAATCAGAGAGTGGGTGTGTGTATACATACATATACATATACACATACACACACACACACACACACACACACACACACACACAGCTTTAACTTAGTATGTATTTTTATTTATAACAACACTAAGGTTGCCCATCATTTGCTTATTTAAATTGCAAGCACAAATTAAAAGGAGAAAAGCACTACCTTTCCTTTCCTGTGCTAGATACTACTTACTCCTACCAAGCTCAAGTAGGATCACCTTGCCCAGGAGAGCAAGACCATCCCTTACCTTCTGTTTGCTTAAGAATTTTAACAAAGAACCACCTTTGACATGAACTTATGCTTACATATTAGTGAAACCACATGAGTAGAAGCAGAATAAGGTAGCCTGCACTGAGCTGGCTGCAGTTGAGCTGACACAGGGTGTGTGAAGCTAACACAGGTGTCACTAGGTCTCCATAACCACAGTACAGAAACACTCTGTCCAAAAGGAAGGCCTCATTTCCCACACCACAGAATTCAATTTGATGCCAACCCCACCAGCTCAAACACAAACTTGTGCCTTCCCACATAAATGAGTTCAAAGACTGTGGTAGCACTTCCTCTGTCCCAGCTATCTGAAAGACTAAAAAGTGAGTTATAAAGCAGACTCCATTCACTTAAGCTGAAGTACGCTTTTCTTTTAGAAAAGATGCAGATTTTCTAAAAAGAAAAATCACCACTACCAGCATAAAAAGTTACTCAGGACTAAGCTAATATTGTTTTAAGTTTGCTACACTGCTTAAGTGTCCATTATATTACTTCTGTTCCGCTCACAAACTGGCTTTGAGAAGTTGATAATGCCAGGATGTTATATTTTACCACAATGTCTGGTGAATTTTTAGGAAAATAAATCCAAGATGCACAAAAAGTTAGGAACCTATTTAGTCATATTAGTGCATCTCCCCCTCCTCACTTTGTTGTTTTAGAGAGTAACATCAGGTAGGAGTCTCCAACTTTTTAGTACTAGAATATACTGAAAATATTGCACGCTATTTCCATGTTAGCACCAGCAATACTTCTTCTAATGAGGTTAGTGATCAAACGAGTAAGATCTCTAAGATCTTGTCCTCTTTTGTCAATTCCAGCAAAGTTTTCTGGTAACCTGAGCAACATATCTTCCATAAAAAAAAAAGTCATGTTTCCAGCTGTAAAAGCTTTGGGCTTTTGCTCTCACAGCACAGAATTTTTATGAGGTATTATGATAGTTACCAGAGCTCAGAATTTAACACCTTACAACCCAGCAAAACACAACAAAGCATGCAGGGAACATGAAAAGCATGTACGAAGAGATACATGGCATACATTCAAAGATCTAAAAGGGGAAGAGAACTTTTCCCTGGATTGTGCAGTATATATGACCTTTTATATACTTACAGGACTGAAAGTCCTTGCCCATGCATGGGGAGAAAGAGCAAGGAGAACTGCTAACTTCAACAATAAAA